CAAGTAAACTCTGTACAAGTTTTAAATGAGTTACTCAGATACTGGTATTCTATCAACGAAGCCATGATTTGTGGTTGTTTTTGTGTTTTTAAAGTTGTTCGAAATAGCACTGAAGGCAGCGCTTCGTAATCTGGATAGAAATACATTTTCATACTCACAATATAAACTATTCAAAATGCACAAAACTAGAGTACAAGTTGCAAGTATCACTTACTAAGGATCCTTTAAATTTTAAAGATTGTACAAAAAACGGAAATAGACTTTTTTCGGTGCTCCCGAAGTATGCGAACCAAGATGGCGGACATCGGAACGTAACATGGGTAGCAGGTTAGGGTTAGGCGATAATTTTTTTCCAATTTTCCTTATTTTAGTCCTATTATCAGTTCGAAGACTAGCCAAGAGCCTCCCGTAGTATTTATACCTAAAATTATGGCCTAACCCTAACCTAGTACACATATTACATTCCGATGTCCGCCATCTTGATTCGCATACTTCGGGAGCCCCCTTTTTTCAGTCAGTCAGTAGTTTATTTTTCACCAAAATGAAAATACACTTAATGCGAACAAAAGCTAGTGAAAAAACATGAAAATGGCACTCCACGGTTAGGGTGACGCGAAAAAAAACAATATTGGTTATCGAGCAGCGACACCTGAAGAATATATAAGTTTGGAAATTTATTAACTTAATGCATAATGGTTTTCTAATATTCAATGTGGATGCGGTTTACGGTTGGTTGCGGGGCGCTATTCAGTTTCTTGTATCTGACTGGAATAAGTATAAATTTGTAATACTACTTCGTCATTAATAACAGTATGTCAAAAGTCAACATGGCCTATTTCCCATTACACAGTTTAGAAAGCCTACAGTGTCACTGTAAATAAAATTGTTGAATATACTTGAAAATGCGAGTACATCTATGGTATTATCTGGAATGTTTCAATACTTTGATCAATGTCTATGATTATCACCAAATTGTGGTAATTGTGTGATTAATTTTCTTTTTCAAAATATGAAAATAACTACAGTCTAAGCCTAAAAAAATGCGGGTTTAGTACACTCAGTATTGTTGATAACAAATGATAAAACCAAGGTCTGTCTGTTTTATATTTTCCTTATCTTTATGAGATGACATCGAGAAACGTCTTAGCTTAAGGCGAGATGAGGTAATCCGAATTTTGACGGCTTATGGTTTATGTAAGTTCCCGTTTGCCCTCATTAAAAACACGTTATCTCTCTCGATGTGATGAAGTCAATATACAATTTTAGCTTAGAGTGAAGATAGGTGTAATAAGGTAATCCGAGCCTGCGAATAACTTTGTACTCGTCCGATATATATTCAAATGTAAGAAAAATACGTAAAATTAACAAAATATTAATGTGGCACAATTCGTAGAAAACGATATTTACTTGGGTAAAAATAGTTTCCATTTTTGTTGTTCTACCCATTGACATGTTACAACGACGAAATTTCTGAAACAGATAACTGTGAAAACGCGAAAAATAATTATAACAAAATATTCAATTGTTTTGATACTAGCAACATTTGATAATAAGTAAAAGTTTATGTAGAATCCATAATCACCATAACAGAAGATAAAATGGTTGATAAAACGAATAAATAAAAACGGATTACAGAATCGGGTCGGTGGATTTCGGCTTGTATATACTTAAAATTAAATTTTGGTACTAGAGTTCCGCGACCACACCGCGTCGTTCCAACGTCAAATGTATCTTTATTACGAAATACGACTTAGCGGGAAGCGCGTGGAAACGGTTGGTCTACCACGATATTACCAAGATATTAAGTCTCGCTCACGTGAAATGTCGAACAATTTGTTGCATTATCCTGAAACCAGAATTATCAAAAAAAGAGTTGTTGTTGAGTTAACGCTTATAACATCAGTAGTCTTCTGCGCCATTAACAAATGCGAACTAAAATTCTATAGCTTACTGCTACATTGTACAAGGTGTCCAAAAAGTCCCGCCCGATTTCAAAGCATTACCAATTGCAAATTTAAATAAATTTTGTTGTATGATAAATGGGGACTACAACATTCAACATCTATAACATCCAATTAGAAACAGGTTGACTATAAATCTTTTTTAAAATAAAAAAAAAATAACATTTGATAATAAAGACTTTACAACCGGCGAAACTTTTTGGACACCCTGTACAATGTTTGCAAATGAATCGAATAAAAATAAATTAATTATAAAATATTAATTACCAATTAATCCTAAATAATTCTGCGGTAGAAAAGACAAACTCCATTACAGTTTCAATTATGTCTATGTCAGTGAGAAGCTCTTAATTCAAAGTTTTTGGTTTCATGTAAAATGGAAAAAGTAGTCTTAGAGACAATCCATTCTAAATAAAATGTATCCTTTATAACAATAACGAGGACATGGGACAATCTTAATTTGGTTTTAATAGTATTTACTTGGTAGGCTGAACATAGGTGATGTTTACTTCCAATCTTCTTTCGAAATCACCACATAACTAAATAGCCAGGGGTTATAATGTCATAAATAAATCTATTTTTATCCTCTATGTTTCATAATGGTGGCGAAATTACCGCGCCTGGTACAAAATTTTCCCATGAATGCATACTTTTTTACATTGCCATGTTAATAAACAAACCCAATGCTATTGGAAAATGTAAATGTGCCTGACTTGCTTTAAATTTTATGTTAAAGATTCAATTTGTTAAATAATTAAAAATTATGAGATCATAGTCACAAGGTATTGACTATAAGTGTATTCTCCCAAAATTACTAAAAGAAAAAGAAGTTTTATGTTTCAAAAATATATGTCTTGCGCAATTTTCAAGTTTGGTAATTCTGGAAATCACCTCATATCAATTGCACAATGGTGGGTAAATTTAGGATGGAAATACCCTCACCCATTTTATGATACTTCCTTGAAATGCTATCAAGATTATTGTTTTCACAACAGAAGGATATTTTTAAATTTGTGCTATTAATATGAATCGAAAATCCAGCATTTTTTTCATAAATGTTTTGATAGTAAAAAACTCCAAGGCTTAAAATAAACCAATAAATGTATGAATGCGTTTTCTACTGAATATTTTGATTTAATGATAAATTAAAAAAAAGTTTAGCAAAGAACATACCCTGCTCAATGACATTTCAAAAAAATAAACATGTTGATAGAATCAGTAACTGTTTTAATAATCATATATAAAACAATCAGTCTATGCTATCACATTATAAACGTCTTGTTTTTGGCTGAGTTTAGTGAAGATTTATTCATAAATTTTATAGAAATCAAGTTACTGCCTACTACTAATATTTTGACTTTATCATGAATTAGTATAAATGTTTAGTGAAGAATAACCATTCCAGCAAAATAAGCATTTTGATATGGACATAACTTTTTAAATAGTTATACAGATAACCAGTCTAAGTTTTTACATTATCAATGTCTTGTATTCGACTGGGCTTATGTTGATCAATCAAGTTACTCAAAATTGCTACTTAAATACCTGATCAGGTTTTATTATACACATTATGAATCATGGACCACTTGTTGTGAATTTGTCCTATCTGTGATTATTTACTCTAAGCTCTGACTCATGTTGACTTACTTGTTATAACATTTAAGCACATGTTTTTTAGTTCGTGTGCCCTTTGGGGGGCCATGTAGATTTTATGTTATAAATAATCCATTCTGTCCAGAAGAGGGTTTATATTGATAATATAAATCTTAGCATTTTCCATGATTATGTACAGACAGATAAATGTTGTTTGATCAATTTTACGCTTGTGTACAAATTCGGAACCAAGCATCCTTTAATTATAGTGTATGATATTCTATGGATATAATGCCAGTAGGCATCACGTTTAACAAAATTTTGACCTGTTATTTTATTTAGATATTAATTTAATTCTAAATATAAAAACAAATTGTACAAAATGAAAGCTATTTACTAATAGTAGTAATAGGAGTGAAAATGTTCAAACCTCCCTTATTTTAAAATAATATTTTTTTAATATGTGAATTAGACAATAACTATTGTTAGCATTCATGGCTTAATAACTTATATCTGATTTTATTGACCTAAATTGCTTTGTCAATCAATATCTACTGGCAAATATTGCCATATAGCTCTTGTGGCATTTCAGTTGCTATATGATTAAGCCATCTCATTGCCTTTCCTTCCTCCATGATAAATATGTAAATCCTATTCTACAACCTTGCTTATAGACATCTGAGTCACTGAGTGTGTATGAGTGAGTGACCTTTGAACAAATTATTTTAAAATAGCCCCTTATTTTTTCTATTTTAATGATGGATCCACCCCTGAATGAAAGTATAATACAAAATTAATACAGAATATCATTTCAAATTGAATTTTGACTTTTGTTATATATTTTTTCCTATACTACTCCAATTTAGGTCCATCATATAATCCCCAGCTAACCTCTAACTTTTGTAATACAATTTCTAAATACCGAAATAGGATTTAATTTACCAAGCCTATTAAGTGCTCAAGAGATTACTAATTTATGCCAAAACTAGGATTTATGTAAATAATCCTATATATAATATTATATGTATAAACTAATGAGGCCTATTTGTAACTAAATAAGGTATATTTTGACTTCGATACAATATTAGGACATCAAAATTTGAATTTGTTTCGTTATTTTGTGGAAAAAAATTTGTCCTTCATACCTCTGATATGTTATTATGGGTTGTATCTCTTAGCTGCATGCTTAAAGGGTTCTGTCTTAGATATGATTTCTAACATTTTTAACAAACATGGTCAAAATATAATCTACTCTATCTGTTATATTTCACCCTTTTATCAATTTACTCCTTGTAGGTAAAAACGCGATATCTTGCTTTGAGAAAACGTACCTAAAAATTTTGCCCAATTGCAATTACATATCAGTATGGATTGCATTAAATCTAGTCAAACCAAGATCACAGTTTTATAATTTGTAATACTTATTATCACTATACTTTGTTTTAGGTCGAAATGAACTTATTGCAAGATACATCAAGTTACGAACTGGGAAAACAAGAACAAGAAAACAGGTAACATGTTGTCATAGTGGAATAAAGCTCTCAGGTTCAAGATCTAACCAGAAAATTTTAAGTAGGATGTTTTAGGTGTGTAAGATACATGCTAAACCGAAAATAAAATCCCATCCACTCTGACTCTCAGTATTCATTTTAAACGGTAATTAAATTGGCCCCCCTGTTCTCATATTGAAGACATTTAGGTAAGTAACTGATCAATAACCATACATCATATTTTAGGTATCGAGCCACATTCAAGTTCTCGCCAGGAGGAAATCTAGAGAACTTCATTCCCAGTTCAAGGTAATTGTAAGTCAAAATTTCTGTTATATTTACAACAAAATAAATGGTGATGGCATGTTCAACTAACATGAATGTCAAGCTTCAAATGCATTTTTTGAATGTTTTCATTTATTAATTGCTGTCATATCAAGAAGCATAGAAAGTAAATTTCCAACTATATTTAAGTAACAATAATAATTTAATATTTATTGAAGATATTGTATATAATCGTGAAACTGCGATGATCAAACATTAAATAACATTTGAACACATTGCTTGTTCAAAACTTTCTTAGTTTTGTCATTTCAATATTCAAAGAATCATTTATATGCAAGGAAAGAAAAAAAGACTAAATGAAACATGATACAAGACAAAAAAAAGAAAAAAATGTGGTATTATAAATTTATTCATCGTTTTCACCCTTTCAAAAATCAAAGCGTTGATTATAAAATTTATAAATACATAATGATGTAAGATATTGAAAACAAGGAAAAAGTTCTTTCAGAATTGTGTTATTTTGAACTTTATGCATAGCCCTTACGCTTTTAAAAACCAGAGCATAATTTGGATTTGTGATTACATTAGCATGTAGTTGGGATACTAAATGAAAAATCGCCCTAAACTTTGGAAATTATAGTAATTTTATAACTACTATATTCATTGAATAAAATCAATCTTGACATAGTTCTGATTTAAAGTACCGGCAATAAATATCATAAATACACCACATTGGTATGGTAGAAAGCTTTGGAAGTAATTCAAAAATCTCAATTCAATTGATAGTTTTGATACTTGAACATGTTAAAAAACTCATTTTTTGTGACAGTGTAATCTCTGTTCATTTTGACAATGAATGTTTTGTTTTGGATCATTTCCATAAGTGAGAATGTAATCTAATACTTTGGTGTGGTTTTTATGATTGGGTCTCCAATGCGCATTAGTGTTGAACTCTTTGTGTGTTTTTGATCTGAAATCTCTAAAACCCAATCATCCAAAAATTCAACATTTTCAAGATTCAAAGGGAATTTATTTGTGAAAACATATGGTAAAGTTTAAAAAATGGATTATTGAAAAGGGTAACCATTTTGAATTTCAATTAAAATTAATTGGTTATCATATTATTAAATGAATTTCAAATGTAATAGTACATTTATACAATTCAGGACAAAATACTACAAATGAATTAAAACTAAATAAATGAATTAAATGAAATTACCGATGGCTGGTAAAGGTATTTTATTGTATGTATGTAAGTAACTTATATGTAACTACAGTTGCTGACAAAATAAAAACAAACTTAGAGCGTCAGAGTTCAAGAAATGTTAAAATATAAACTTTGTTCAAATACAAATCATGTTGCTTTATTTACCGGTGTCACTTATTTTCAGCTTTATAAACTTTTATTTTATTGTTAGAAACATCTAAGTTCACAAACAAAGTACTTTTTAAACATAGGTTAATGTGAATAGTTGACCCGGAGGCATGTCAACAACTGTGCATTATGAGATCTTTGCTACAATTAGACTAAGTTTTGTCCGTCGTGTCACGGTTTCGGAAAACTTCTATCACAAGTAAAAAAATATAAACCTTAAGAACACAGGCCTATGCTGGGTCAGAATTAACTCAATACAAAAGGTTTCATATCAAGGCATCATTGTTCATTCACGATTTGTTTAACTATAACCAAGCTTGCTAGATATTTACCTGTCTATGTAAGACACTTTGGCGTCACCTTTAATGCTTTCCAATACGGTCGATTGCTAATGAACACTTTATGTGCTACGATACTTGAAAACAAAATGAGCAACTTTCATTTTGAAATGGGTGATTTGAGTCTGAGTGCTGTCAGTCATTTCAAAATTTGTTTAGATTTTAAAACACTGTAACAATTTATAAAGTTAATCGAGAGTTAAACCTAATGATGATTGACGATACTCCCCCATATCAAGAATAGATATGTGTCACAAGACATTTCAAACATAACAGCAGTTTATTTTTACACGAGCCGAAAGTACACATCGTATATACAGATTAATGAAAGATAAAAAAAAATGCATTTTAGTGTGAAGGAAGACGCGATAAACCAGTAATGGTTATCGAGCAGTGTCACCTATAAAAAAAGTCTAACATAAATATGTTAAAAACATTATTAAAAAAATATAGAATCAAGTGTGATCTATTATTGTCATTATAAATTCCTGTCCGAAGCAACATTTCAGTTCTTCTTTTAATAATTTATATTATATGGTATAAAAGATTATGATGTTCCCCGAAACATGCTGAATCATGCTTCATTTCGCACACATTTTTCTTCATGCTTTTTCCATTTAAAAAAAATGTAATATTTAAACTAATGAGGAATGAAGATCCAATCAAATGAGTAAACTTAGTAAGACTGTAATCATTTTCCGATAATTATATCATACTAAACCTTGAAACCACCTGAATTGCGGTACCTTATAATACAAATTTGATGTTTTTAATTTTTAGCACATTGGTAAAATTCTAAATTAAATCAAAGTGCTTAAATATCTTGTGGTATATAAATTCAAGCAATTTTCATGTTTTAGTTGGTTTAAAAATGTATTAAATTTCAAATTTGCCGAATTTCTCAAAACCTTAACCTGGATTGTTCTATTTTTAATAAAAGCTAGTTGAATTGAACATGTTTATGAAAATTTTTTAAATTCTTTGAATGGCTCTTTTTTTCTTTATTAATATGACAACCAGCTTTTCATTCTAACTCCAAAACTAACCATCTCATCCTATTTATTTCTTTCTGCTTGCTGATTGAATGTTGCTACATTTTCATCAATCATGCCTGCCTCCATATAACAGACTCCTAGAGGAAATGAAGGAGAACCATGGCCGCCTTATAAACCTCAGATTAATAACATGGTGAGTCGATTTAATGGATGAACAAAGATCATGAGCATGCATGGATATTGTATATAACTAGGGAAAGAATTAACCAGAACAAATTACCTAAATTGTTAAAATACAGGGGTGTCCATAAAGTTCTTTTACAATTTTGTTATGAAGTCAGTTCTCAATATATCTTAACCAGGTTTGTTGTTTTTAGATCAGCAGTTGTTCAAAGTATTTTTACTTCATTTAATACCTTTGTGAGGGACAAAACAATATATGGCATAGATAAATTCCATTTGCAATTCCAAAAATTTTGAGACTTTATGGACACCCTATAATTTAAAAACAAAGGCAGTAATGATATCAAAGAGGAGAAGGAAATCAAATTTCATATGGGCTTGGTTGTTTTTACTATGGTTCATGGGAAATGGACTTAAAAATAGATTTCGAATGCCTAATATTCAGTCCTGTGTATGTGTTTATTTGAGTTCTGATTAACAGTCTTTCATGGCATCTCATTCAGTAATATACCGATTTTCAAAATTTACATTGGTTATTATAAGAGAGTTAAGTCACTCTCATTAAACTTGTCATCACATATGTTCACCTTTATGTTGATTTCCTTCAGTTTTGGTAGAAACAGGGATTTCCATGAATCGATTATTCAAATACATTCAAAATTTATTATATTCTATATGGAAAAATTTGATTTTAGGAATGATTTGAGATATTTATATTGGAGATTTTGTGCCATCATACAAGCAGATCAAAATATACGATATCTTAGCTAGTAACAAACAACACAGAGAAAATAATGATCACTATATTTATGTCGTTTTAGATGATCAACATGAAAATATAGAAATTTTGTCCCCAATTGAGAGCGTAATCGATATTCAAAATAATTTTTCAGAATGTGTTCAAAATAATAAAATACTCGGTTTGGCCATCCCTGGGTAGAAGTATCTATATACCTTGAGTCAAGGCAGTCACTGTTTTTTCAGTTCGGAGTCGAGTCTTAAATGAGTTTAAGTCTCATTGGTGGTTATGACCAGTCTGATTCAATATGTTTGGATGACTTGAGTCACTTTGAGACTCTGATGAATGATGACTTTGACTTGGATCCAACTTCAGTCCAGTCATTAACTCAAGCCTCCCAATCTGTGATTAACATCTTGGCCAAGTTGACTTATTTGCTTTTGATTCAGGACCAAGCAACAAAAGATAAAGTGTTGCAAAGTATGGCAAGCATGTCCTCAGCCCAGATAGTATCAGCAGGAGTTATACCGAACAATCCTTCACTTCTATCCGGGATCAGGCCGCAATATCAGAAACCTCATGTAAGTTTGTTTTGTTACAGAATGAAAGTAACAATAAAGCCTTTTTGTGGAAATAATATGAAATACAGGAGAGCAATGCTCAAATATATGGATGCTTGGGTTGCAAATTAGTACCGGTATTTCCATTGCCTTAAAGCATGGAATTTGCTGTAAAGATTGGCAGACAAGTGTGGTCATGTGTGACAAAACATCAAAGTAAACATCAGGTCCCACATGAATCGGAGGAAATTAAAAAATATGTAAACTCAATAGCCTTTTAGCGCTTTCAGCCACCTTTAAATGCTAAAAAAATTGTCAATTAGTCAAAAAAGTGATTTTTTCCAACAACTTCTTGTCCGATAATGAGCAGTGTATTTTTGAGTGTGATACTTCATTCAATGAAGTCCAGACTTATTATTTCAAACTGTATTCTCACTCAATGTTTTCAAATGTTCTCAAACACTGGGGTCAACTCAGTATTTTTTGTTACCAATTATTTACTATTGATTCATATATATATAATACCACATTTTACAGATAGATGTTCCTTTAAAATCCAGACTTCATAAATAATAATCTGAATTATTTTCCTTTTTAGTTTTGGCCTGGTGTTGCAGCTCATTCTGAAGTACCAGAGTAAGTAAAGTTTTGTCATATTGAATTTAATTCACACATACTGAGAACTGGTGGTGAAATGGAGTATTTAAACTATTCTTTGCTAACTTGAATTGCGACCAAATGTAACCAAATTTTACTAAGATATCTGTTATGAAGTAAGTATTTCAATATAACCAACTTTTCAATATATTTGAAAAAAGCTCAAACTGTTGTGCAAGTGATGCTATCTACATTCTAAGCATTATGGAAAGTCAACATTAGTCTTAACATTATTTTGCAATTGCAGACTTTTATAAATTTAATACTTCCTTAAAACTTTAGCTTCAACATAGGTCACATTAGGTTCCAGCAGTACAACAAACATGTAAACATGAATAGGCAGCATGCCACGTGGCATAAGCATCCCACATGGCCCTGCAACACATCTAATAATTTTTTTCATTCTATCTATTTTCAGTATAAAACCGTTCCGAACAGATGCATATGCAATTGCACAACAAGTCAACAGTGTGGCACAAGTATCATTGGGAGGTCAGAACAATATCAATACAAATAGCAATGCATTGATGGCACTTGGTGGTTATGGACCTCACATTGCAAATCAGGGCCCACCATGGCAGGGAAGGCAGGTATGGGAAGAGCATAGGTAGAGAAGTAAATTGATGTTTTCAAACCCTCAGGATTTTCAACCAGTGTTCCGTCAATACAGTCCACGAATTTCTTTTCAAATTCGAGAGGCTTTATTATGATATGTATATTGTTTATGGGTATAATATGATCATACAGTAAGTGTGTTTTACTAGTGTTCCGTGGGAAATCTTAGGCGTTCCGCATCAAAATGTTGTTTCACATTTTTGATTGGCATACTTTATGATACCAAGTATAATCATATAATGAATATCACATGGGTTTCTCGAGATTTTAAAATGTTTTATTGGGTTTCCCCTTTTACCAAAAAGCTTAAAAACCACCTATCTAGGGATTATATTTATACTAAACCTGATCAATAATTTTTGTGCATTAATTAAGCATTTCAAAAATGTACACTTAATTTAATCTTCGTCTAAATACTTATCATTACTATTCTACTGTGTATGATTTTCTTATGGTTTCATATTATGATAAATTCTTTACTTTCAGATTGCAACACATATGTTGAGACTTGTTGACTTTTCAGCATTTTTAGAACAACAACATGATGCAGATAATGTAAGTGATTCAGTAGACTCAACACTCAGTTGTTTCCTAACCTAGAATGTCTCTCTATGACATGTTTTATAGCATTGAAATTTTTAAAATGATTAACCAATTTGTTTTTTTTCCTGAAATAGAAATAATTTAGGATCATTGAATAAATGCTTTGTGTATTTTGGATTAGATAGATTGGCAAAGATAAAGATGTTCAATGTCTACAACTCATCCCAGGTTTAAAGAACTTATTAAGGCTCTGCCAAATCAAAAATTTTACCTGCATATGTATATACAGAAGTCATTGCTTGTCTATTGTCTTATCAGCCAATGATTTATAAATTTTTTAATGCTTTTTGTTTCTTCCCAGTATTCCAAGCATCTCTTTGTTCATATCAACCACTCAAATCCATCTCATAGCGATCCTTTACTGGAATCAATCGATATTCGTCAGATTTATGATAAATTTCCTGAGAAAAAATCTGGTTTGCGAGAACTTTATGAAAAAGGTCCAAAAGAATCATTCTTCCTTGTCAAATTTTGGGTAAGTAAAAACAACTCAATATATGTGAGCCACTGCATTGCTGTTCACAGTATGCAGGTTCACTGATTCTAATCCCATTGGAATTGGTTATTTACAAAATTATTGTTGGACTTTTCATTCATATGGTTGGTCTGTTGGCCCTGATGACAGGTTATAGTCTGCCATGTGATAAGGCAATTAATTGTCCTAATAATTTTAATTGTATTCTGAATAATCCGAATAGGCTGATCTGAACGTGAACATAGTAGAAGATTCAAATGCATTTTATGGAGTGACAAGTCAATTTGAATCAACTGATGACATGACAATATCATGCTCTACTAAAGTCTGTTCTTTTGGAAAACAAGTTGTTGAAAAGGTTGAGGTAAGCTGTTAATATCAGTCTTTATATATCCAGGAAAAGCTTGATCAATGAAGAAATCTTAACAATGGTTGACTTGCCCTGAAACACTACATAAATATTGTATAGAAATTCTGGATATGTAAAAAAGATCTTCTCTGCCAGAAGTCAAGAACTTTTCTTGTGCTATATTTTCCAATTTTGTCAGAATACCAGTGGGTTATTATATTGTACATTAGACATCTCTAATTTCAGAAACAAAACTACAAATACATGTAATAAGATTTTTCAATTAAAAAAGTACACTACTATCTTATTTAAGTGTTTTAAATAAGCTAAAAAACTTTAAAAAGTAATTAGACTATTTCTAATTAGGTAATCTTTTTTCAGACTGAATACGCAAGGTTTGAAAATGGAAGGTATGTGTACAGGATTCATCGATCTCCGATGTGTGAATATATGATCAATTTTATATTAAAACTAAAACATCTACCTGAAACATACATGATGAACAGTGTGTTGGAAAACTTCACTATATTACAGGTATTTGATTAAAAATTTACTCTTTTGCACATTCAACTTTCACAGTGATAAAGGGAATTCATAATTGATATGTACTAATATCTTTATTACCCATTCTTTTGAGTTGTTTTTTTCTCTTTGTATATATTTCATTGTCTCTTCTTTTTTAACAACATCCTTATTAATGGTGATATATTGAACATATTTCGTTCCATATTTTCTGATTGAAATCTTTGGCAGAAATATTATGTTAAGGCAATGGGCCCATGTACATTCGGAAATTGTACCGGTACCTAGGGATGGGCAATGTAGAATAATTTACTATTCCAGAATAGTTAAATCGAATCCAGAATCCTATTCTATTTCCATACTTACTCAAATAGTGGGAATTTCCCCATTGCTTGATTTAGATGGTACTTCAATTTTTATGTAATTGTGACAAACTGCCTATCCTTTATTACATGTTTCTTGAAGTCCCGGATCCTTATATCACCTGTGTCACAGGAATGCTTGATAAGCTGAAATAATAGAATATAGGAATAATCTTATCCCCCAATATTACAAGTTTTGTTAGGTCCTGATGAAGCTAGAATAAGATGTATTTATGTGGGATGAGATCCTGCTCTTTTTCTATTACCTTAACAGTGTTTATTAAACATTGCATTGTTTTTCAGGTTGTATCAAATCGTGACACTAATGAAACACTTTTGTGCATGGCGTATGTTTTTGAAGTTTCAACATCTGAACATGGAGCACAACATCACATTTATCAATTAGTTGGAGACACTAAACAATGAAATGTTCAAATAGATTCAATCATATAAAATTTTGTAAATGGTGAAGGCCAAGGCCAACAGGGACAGAAATCGGTACAAAGAAGTTGCCATAACGATCAGTCACCATGGCGATTCCCAAACGTTCCTCTTCCATTTTTACACAAAGACATATGATTTTTGGATTGTTAGCATGGTTGTTTATGGTGGTATTTTGAAAAATATTCAAACTAGGACAGTGAGGCGTTATATTAATCATGCTTTGTAATAATGAAATATCGCTCAAATTTCAAAATTTGACAAGTTAGCTTTCTTGTTCCAAATTTTTTAATCTGTGAATATTATTTGATGATAACACTAAATTAATGAGGGTGTTTCATATAAAAAAATATTTAATTATATTCTCCCAAAGGTGTCATTTTAAGTGGAACACTGATTCCTAAAAGAATCTAATAAAATACAACTTTAGCTAACTTATGGTTGACAAGCTTTCTACACATAAAGCTTATTGCTGTACTTTTCATATATATATATATTTCAAGCGAATTGTTCTGCTTTTCTTCTACGTTCACAAAATTTCGAGCAGAAATTCTTTTCTTGTAAAATATTTCGATCAACAAAGAAATGTGCAAGTTATTACATTATCAATTCCAGTGGTCCGCATCTGTACACTGCTATACTGATGTTCAATCTTATGACTCTTACAGTTAGACAAATGTCTTAGATAATTAATAAAATTTAAAAATTTGATACCCCATATTTTTTCAAAAAATACAATTTTTAAAGTTTTTCGCATAATAGATTCGGGATTTTTGATAAAATATTGTACATACATTTTTTATTCTCACTAAAAAATATAATTTAATAAATGAAGGTTCCTTGAATCAGAAATGTTTTATATAAATAATCTTTGTTTCACCACAGAAATCCATCACTGGTGCCTATGAATGTGTGCTATTTCACAGCTTTTAAAATATCTTGCTTTCAAGTGCTTTTAACATTTTTTTGTTTTATAAGTTTCAACCGATAAATATTTGCCTTATTTTTTGCATTTTTATTCATATTAATTATTTTACAATGGTATTTTAACATTGAACTTGTATTTTTTCTCAAAAAAGCTACATATTTTTATCATTTTACTAAAAATGTAATGTTCAAAAATGCATGGTACATTTTATCAAGTTCTGTAATTTTCGGTGCGCAAGTATTTCACTGTCAAATCTAAGGTACTAGATAGATATTTTCTGATTTAATGATCTGATACAGTTGAAAATTTAGCTTAAATGCAGATGAGGCAATGATTCATCTTGCTTCCTTGATACATATTTCCAACAAGTGGCGATGGCTATTTATTTTCAAGTATTTGGCTCTGGATAAATCGAAAAATGTGTAAAACATTTCATATATATAGCAAATTATTTTGACAATTTTTCTCTCCATCCAATGGTGTAGTTTCTGATCCAAGTTTTTCTCAGTAGTAATAAGTTCAGGCTAACCATAACAATACAACTTTTATTTGATCGTATTTGGATATTCAGAGCTTGGTATAAATAGCCATCTCAATTAAACAATTTTCCTATCATATAGCCTTTGCCAAACGTTAAGCCTTGTTACAGCTATTTTAAAGTATGCCGATCCCATTAAGAAATACCGGTTATGATCTGCTGCCTTTTCTGCTTATCGGTTTTCTATAAGTTTCACGCTTATGTTATATTAAGTTGTGTTTTTACCCATCTCACTGGTATCAAAAAAAATTGTGTGGCTTTTTACAATCACTATATTATGTTGAACAATCTTTGACTGCATGAAATAATTGCCAATTATGTATCTAAATTAACGAGTGCCTTTTAAAGTATTTAATTGATGGTTACAATTTGTCATTTCAAGTTGAGAGTTTATCATTATGTTACCCGTTAAATAGTTTTGCCTGCTTTTCTACAATTACTGTATTATACCTACTTACTTTTGATATATCTATCTGCCCTTGACTAGAGTAATTCTTTACTTCTTAGGGTCTTTAGCCAGTGACCACCTTAAAAGGTGGTCAATAGTTTCAGGTTGGTGTGACGTTATACAAAAGCCCTTTTTTAACACAGAGAAATGAACATTTTGGAAAGTCAAAATCTCGATTGCTCAGAGTTATTTTTATACAAGATATATCAGTGTCAAAAAAGGTTGATTACAACTTGCGAGCATTCTAAAAACAGATAATTTCACACAATGCGTAACAAGTTTAATTATTTATATCACATCATATAAGGTAGTCAACATGTAGCCTGATGCTAACCTCTCAACTTGATTGACAGCATTAACAATGTAATGGTTGACAAATTTATGTCGTTTTAGCCAAATTTTGTACAATTTATCAAAGAACTATGGAACTTGAATTTTTTATATATTTGTTGTATAAAATTTTTTGAAACCTAATAAAATGATTTTCACAGATTATGTTTGTTATGTATCATTATCAGACGAATGAAAGTTCCAGAAACGCTCCTAGGCTTTTGCAAAATCAGGTTTTCTTTCAGACTTATTCTACCCATCCATATACAGGAATGGACAAACCCGTATATTTCACTATTTTTTAAAAAAATTATCGAATATGAAATACATTCCAAATTGAGGGAGAGTTTGGGTGGAAAATTACATGAATCACAAGGCTATATCTTCATGTTGATCAACATCTTAAATGACATAAATATAAAGGTCATTGGTTTCTCTGTGTTGTTTGTTGCCAGTTAAGATATCATACCTTTTGATCTGCTTGTCAACGGCTCAGAATCCCTAATTTTCAAATAATAGTATTCTAATTTATTTATATCAAATCCTGGACATCCCTACCAATAGATTGTATCCAGACACAGACATTTCACCACTTCCATATGCGGGTCCATATGCGTGAGCGCTTATTCAGTTTGCAAAATATTTACCTTTTTTGTTTTATACGTTTCGACTAATGCCTCTATGGAATCAACACAACTTGTAAAATTTCGGTCACAAGATAACTATTCAAAAAAGTAAACATTCCTTTGGTATGAGTTGACAATAAGAAACCTTTCTATTGGTTTTTAGTTTCTCACAGCATAGCAACGTTTCGCCTATTTCAACAGTAAATGTTCTAAGTATCTATTCCTTACCTGCCTTAATATCTTTTTTATACATACTATATTCAGTAAGTACCAAAATTGGTGTTTAGACATGTTCGATAAAAATCTTGGATAGTTTTTTGACAATACCAACAATTCAGTATCAATTTTCCATATACTGTACTTCTAAGATTAAAGATGCAAAATTGGTATTTAATTATCAAATAGGTATATCTATCTGTTTCAAGCTAAAATTAAAAACAGCAGCCAAAGAGGAACAATAATGTTTTACTGGACATGTTAGGACAGTACCTTCCTCATATCAAGATTCTCACAGACATCTAGACAGAAATACACTCTATAGTCAAGGCACCAAAACGCATTCTATACAATGTGTATTCACAAAAACCGACAAAATTGCACCATCAAATTACATAGCATATAACTAAAATTGGCAAATAAATTCACATGATAATGGTGGAGCAAAATTTTCAAAAACTTGAGTTAACCTTGCAAAGTAGAAGCATTTTAGTGACTGAGGGCTCAAAATGAAACTTTAGCACACTACCAGATTATTAAACATGAACCACTGATCCAAGACAGTAATTTTATAGTTAAAACCAGTCCAAAAGTAAAGCGAACCAGTATGGAATTTTAGTTGACGTATGATAAATAAGCTCGCCAAATCAAGACAGGAAAGTATATATATGTATCTGTCCAGTCTTCCGTCCCCAGTATAACCACACTTCGGTGTCACAACTTATTCCATACTATTTCCCTTCCCTGTTAGATTCCGTTGTTTTAATTTCATCTTTGCTAATTTTCAGGGAGAAAAAATAAAACCTGGCTTGCTATGACAAATTGACCTGAAGTCTAAAATTAGGATACGATTTGTATCAATTGTCAACATTTCATTGTGTGTAATAAGTGTTATGCGACACTTTGTATTGATAAATTACTAGCTGTTTACAATAGATGAGAAGATAAATCGTACTGCTGGAACTTTATGTACAAATTATTAATAGCACATGCTGTGGCGAGAAAACTCAAAATTCTCCATTTGAAAATCTAGCTTCGAATAAAAGATGCCTAAACAAACAACTGAAGAATAGATTAGAGACATTTACACAATCACAATTTTAGGATTGTTAGTATTTTAGGGCAATAATTACATACTTGGTGATACTTTACTGAATTCTTACATAAAGCCTTTTCCAGTGTAAAATTATGAAATTTCAATTGTGGTATAGTACACTGTACCATACAATAACAGTGAGTGGTGAATTATGAGCGGACCATTCAATCATTTAAATCAAGGCATTTTTAAGCAAACTAATGCTAGCTGGAGCAATTTATATTTTAAGAAATTACAATTGAGGTTGATCGAAGCATAAGAACAAGGAATACGTATAATCTTAGTTAGCGAAGGTAACTCCCATAGGAAGCCAAATATTTTTACACTGAGTGGAGTGATAAAGGAATTCTTCTCCTTGGCCTTGCGCAGGATCTGTCCAATCTCTTGGAACACCGTAATTCACCCAAGTACGTTTGACATTCTCTGCTGAGGTGTATTCAACAAATTTCGATCCCTGAATTGATAAATGTAGCAAAAATTAGGGCAGGGCACTAGTGGGAGTGGGCACAGGGAGTAGGGCACTAGTGGGAGTCCTAGAGCTGCCTAACAACAATACAGTCACAATGTTTAGGGAAGAGATTTGTATTATAAACAGCTGATGAGAGAAAAATATTTCTGTATCTCACTCGTCCCACAGGAATCTCACACTCACACCATATGAATACCTTAACATTCTGCGGGAAAACTATATATCTTGAAGCACAACATAGCTTTAATACCATCTCATGGACTTGTATCATTCAAAGTTTTTTTTATTTATCGTAACTTCTTTGTTTTGATTAGGATAGATAAAGGTATTCAACTTTAGGCAAACAGTGAGAGTAAGCTTGGAAAATCAGATGTTGAAACTAATAGCTTGTGCATTAGATTTTTTGCAGGGGACACCAATTCATAACTCAGATATGTTAGTTAGCATTAGTTAAGTAAAAATCCATGATCAAAACAGTTTGTAGACTATTATTTATTCTGTCCATTTTTATGTGTCAAATCAAAAATCTTTTTTAGCTCAGAAAAATTGTGAGCAAACACAACTATTAAGGCCAAGACATAGGGCGATAAATAAATGAAAGAAATTAGACCTTAATAAACCAAAATTTCGAGATTTCTCCTCAACCCTTGATAAAATGAGAAATACCAAAATTTGTACGATAAAAAAGACAAAATATAGAGAGCCTTTCAAACTCTAGTACAGGGCAACTCAACTATTTTTACCATGATCTGCATACAAAACTTCAAAGATATTTCAGTCCGGTCTTTTCAGAAATTATATTTCGACATCAACAAACATGCACGTCCTGGGCCAACTAATGATTATTAGTTTATCAAGATTATTTATTATGACGTTATAGTTCTTTTCATATATGTAAATCTATGAAACTGATTTTATAAAAGGAAACCTTCAAAAATGAGGCTAATGATCCAAAATTAGAATTAGGCGCGGCCCGAATCGAATACCCGAATGCGGACTGCGGTCCGCCAGTTGAGTAGCCCTGCTCTCATAAACACTTAGCTATCAGAAACATAATGTTCTTGATCACAAACCTTAGCGGATCCGAAATACCACATAGCGTTGATATCCTGGTGTTCTGCAAGATATTTAGTCACATGATCTCGACTTCCACTAAGGATGTTTACAACTCCACCTGGAAGATCGGATGTGTCAAACACCTGCAGATGAAAAACGAATATTTATTAGAAATATAATAGGAAACTACACGAGCCCATTCAGCCGGACATCTATTCCAAAGAAAAATATTGGTGTTGAATTCCTATCGGGTATCAGGGTTGTGAATAATGGGACTTTTGAAAAAAAATCGGAGTGAGAGATTAGTGCTCTTAGGTAATAAAGATTTGATGATTTTCTATGTGTAAGAACTGAACTTTGAGCAATGTAATAGAGTAATCATAAATTCACAACATTATTTTGTCTGTTTGTATGGGTTTTGTGGCGCTCCAGAAGTGTAGACCAATATGGAGGTAACTAATTTTGTTTGCCTACTTTACATCAAGTTGTATAAAGGGATTGAAACCTATGGCAGGATGGGCAGGGGTATAGTCACTTGGCTAACACAGACAGTCCCCGAACACGCAATAGAACTAAAATAGGAAAAATTGGAATAAAATTATGCCCTAACCCCAACCTGGTACACATGCTTCGGGAGTACTGGTTTTCGTTCCTTTATAACAGGGGTTCTCAATTTTTTCTCTGTAAAGTACCTCCCGAGTCACGAAAAAATTAACGCGATCCCCCAGAGTCACAAAACAATCAACGCGAACCCCCAGTAATCAGACACCAAACTAAATTGTGATATATTGACTAACAATTTGCTCAACGACTGCCAAGTCGTGCATTCCACATTGTTGCGTCACAATCACAACAACGCAAGATCAGGGAAAATGTACGCTTAGTTTCAATTGGCACTTATTTTCCTCTTGAAGTTACTTTCTTTGTTGAAGGATATTAAAAAAAAGCAACACACGAAAACTCGACTGTCATCCAAGTACCCCTGAAAATCTTTTCGTGAACCCCTAGGGGTTCGCAAACCCAGGTTGAGAACCCCTGCTTCATAAGGTTCAGAGCAGCTCATGAAAATTTCAAGATGATCATTCGAATCATCAGTTCAAGTAGTTTGTAATATACTATACAGGATATATAGTTTTTTGTAGTAACGTCTCTTTCCAAAGCTGAAACGGGCTGCTTCATGCTACTTTGTAATAACTTTGTGGAGTGCTTTGATTCTTATGATAAAGTATTGTAGTAGTACAAACTTTGTGCTTGTCTTTAAAAACTGAAGGCTGAATACCTCAAGTATATTATTAAAAATGAGACCAACAACAATGATAATTATCACACAGATAAGCAAAGCATACCTGATAGAAGTCCAGGGCAGGAATGGGGTATTTCTCACTTGGAATAATAACGACACAATTGGCACGAATAACTGCAGGAGCAAACAATGATACGAACGAAAGAAGTGGATTTTCATCAGGACAAGCAATACCGATCACACCTACTGGCTCCCTTATCAACACAGTGCAACCATAGAGTGTTGTTTCCTGGAGAAATATTAGTTTTCTAAATAATACATAGCAAACCTAAAACTAGTGAAAATAAAAACTGCATAGAATTATTGAATAAAAATGTTCTTACACTAAAGGATTTATATGTTTCAATTGAGATTGATTTATATTGATAAACCAATTGTTGATAAATGACATTTTAATATTAGTAATTATTACTTTCCCGAAAATAGACTTTATAATTCTAAAAAATATATATTTATATATTAATTTTAAAAGATCTAAAAATACATAAAAAAACATATAATTCATATCAAATAAATGGCCTGTGAATCTGTGATGTCGTATAGGTTAATTCGATAAATATCAACATTTAATTCGGCCTACACATTAAATGATAAGTGAAACCTTATACTCGACTAATGTATAATTTTCGAAAATCCTAAAAGCTCTAAAAGCAAAACATGTATTTTATATCCAATGAATAGCCGATCATTCTGGATGGACATATGCTAATTGAATAAAAATAAACATCCAATACCATGGTTTAAATGATGACAAATGAATTCACTTAACTACTGTATAATTATCAATACCAACCTGCACATTTCCTCCATATTTATCAGCATAAGCTCCCCAATAAAATAATCTCTGAATTGATAAGTCAACTTCTTTATAACAACTGTCCAACGATTGACCTACAAAGAAAGGTAGGCCAGGTAAATATGAATTTAAGAAATAAATTTGAGGTTTAATGAATTTGCAACAGAATTGGATATAGAATAACAGTAAAGAGTAACAAATTGATTCAGAAGCCAAGAGAAAATGAATGAATGTTACAGCAAGTAGTCGGTAATTACAACTAAATATAACTCTTGTGTATTCCTTAGTTCCTGAGTTCAGGTTGTGCGCCATCTTAGTGCGAATACTTCAGGAGGTCCCAATATTGAATGGAAAATATTGAATATCAGCTGACTAACCTTTATAATTATAACAAATGTATAAAGATGCATTTTCAAATTTGTTAAAAAAAATTTAATTTTTAATTTAATGATAGAAGTATATCCTATACTATATAAGAAATTGTTTGTGCTGAAAAATCTCACCTGTTAAAAGTGAAAGCCTTGAAGCAACCTCTTTTCTCCTCAATTCCAAGTTTTCTGCCATGTAGTAGACAATCTGGGCTCTACGAATTAAAGAATATTGGGCGCTCAAGAAGTACCCAGTATGTGTACCAATATGGAGGTACCGTAACTAATTTTGTTCGCATACTTTACATCAAGTTGTGTAAAAAGACTGAAAACCTATGGGCAGGGGGTATATTCACTTGGCTAACACAGAAAGTCCCCAAACTCGTAATAGAACTAAAATAAGGAAAATAGGAATAAAATTAGGGCCTAACCCTAACCTGATTCACACCCTACAGCCTATGGGAGTACCGAATTTAATGCTCAGCGTGGAAGCGAAATCTTTTCCAAATTAGGTGACATAAATCCCATACAACAGACAGGTATGGCACAATTGAGTTTAAAGTATAAATATCGCAGCATGTCGGATGGTGAGGAGACAGGAAAGAAATTGATGCATTTAGTTTGAAATCAATAATGAACAAAACAAAATTATTCTTGAATTCGATACTGAACATTTATTACTCAGATAAGGTAGTGCATTAGTATATAGCAATAAAAATCTTTCAATAAGTAAGCTACATGTTATCAAGTTTCTTTTTCGAATGTTTATTTCTCACCTGTTATGTGCAGCTCTCTTACCCCATCCAGGGGCAGCTTTATGAGCTGCTTCGACTGCATTTCTCACGTCTTTGCGGTTTGAATCAGAGACATATGCAAGAATTTTCGAAGTCTTTGGATTGATCTCTAAATATAATAACATTAATAGGCAAAGCTATTATATGAACATGCATTTAGAGAGCATTTTGAAGCATGGACCTAGACAAAGTATTTTATTAAGATATCTATTGCTGCAGAATATTCAAATTAGCTTATGTGACATTTCAAGATTTCGGGAAAATCACAATTTTGCAAATCATATTTATGTACAACAAAACTTATATATATGGACATAAGGCACTAACTTAAAAATCAAAACTAAAACAGGTACAGCTTTGAAACCTGGATCTAATAACATAAGATAAAAAAGTCCATTTCCGAAAAAAAAGACATAAGCTATTTCGATTTTGCGGTGGCATCGAGGCAATCAATATTGTAAAATTCAATGTTGCTTGTATATGATCATTTTCAAAATTGTAGAACTTGATTTTGATTGTTAGCTATATGTAGAAAAAGGGGTTGCACACATTAATCAGGAGTGTTCTTTCATGACATATTAAAAAAAAATCGAATATTGAAAAATCCTAAATTTGTTGTAATCTGTATTGAACATTTTTTATTAGTACAATAATAAGTTCGAAGATTTTTAATTCAATTCAATTGAAATCCCAGCCTAATTCAAAAAGGGCTTATTTTCGTAAAAGCTCCATAGTGAACGTGCTTGAATAATTGTTTCTCCCAATTGTATTATTATTGAATCTCGATGTATGGATGTGAAGATACTTGTACAAATTTTTGTTCCATATGACCATAATTACAAAAAATAATTTTTCAAATTGTTTCCGAAATAATACAATATTGAATTTTAGCTGTCTTTAACGAAGCAATACTGGACACATTTAATTTTAGAAAATCTAACAATCACTTTCTCATCAATCAAATGTCCAATTTTTCTCAAAAATAAAGGGTACTACAGTATACACAGTTCAATAATAATCATAAGTAAAATTGGCAGACCATTATTGATTTGCAGCCAAAAAGTTGTGGCAAATTAAAATCTAATGATTTGATACGAATAGTCCGACTATATTGAACGAAATAACCTGTGAATATGATTACTTAATAAATCATGACGAACTAAGATCACGTTTCAACTTTCGGTAAAAATCAAAATTGAAAATTGACACAATCAGAATTGAATTAATTTAGTAGATACTATAAACTATAAAACATTTCAGAGACAATTTATATATAGGCCTACACAAGAACAGTTATATGATTTGAAGCGTTATTTCTGGACAGAATTATCTATTATTAAAATAGTAAAAAAAAGCAGTAATTGTTATGCACCATGGCAAAATAGACAGAGTTTCATATAAATCGACAGGCTGGTACTAATTTTGTTCATGAAATATAATAGAAGCAGAGTTTCTCAACCAGGGGGGAAAACTTTTTTCTCTAGGAGAAAATATAGAACTAATTATGTCTGAAATATTACTCATTCAGCGTAGTTTTACTATTATTATTGTCATACATATTTATAAACACATGGTAAGCTATTATAAGTGTAAAAAAGACAGGGCAGCATTGCGTTTGAAACCAGCGAAGGATCCCTCAATAAAGATTGAACAAATAGCAGAAAATAGAAATTAAGAGATGTAAAATAGGAAAAGGGAAGAAATATACTGAAAAAGTTTGAAAACCACTGATATAGAGCGATGTAAGATCTAGATTTTTGAATGATTGGAATAAAATGGAATATAGAATAGAACTTGCAGTGCTCCCGAAGTATGCGAACCAAGATGGCGGACAGGAACGTAACATGGGTAACAGGTTAGGGTTAGGCGATGAATTTTTTTCCAATTTTCCTTATTTTAGTCCTATTATCAGTTCGAAGACTAGCCAAGAGCCTCCCGTAGTATTTATACCTAAAATTATGGCCTAACCCTAACCTAGTACACATATTACATCCCGATGTCCGCCATCTTGGTTCGCATACTTCGGGAGCCCCTAACTTGCCTATGTGACGTTTGTTATTTTTTGAAACACCTTTATGCAAGCAACGCTTTGGACATTATTAATGGACGCCTGATGGTGGAAATGATTTGGTTTCTGCGGGACTAACTACTTATTCTTCTATGATTTGTGCCGGTTGATCAGTATGCATATAATGTAAGGATGCTGTAGCAAGAGTAAAGATAATTATCCTAAGTGATTGAAGAGCTATGATGCATTGGACTTTTTTTTAAATATAAAACAAAGAGATCTCATCAATGACCTCTCATTTCAGTCACCCGCTGTTATTTAATCAAGAATTTACCAATTTTCTTGATTATTTAACATGAGTAACTCCCATAGTTTTACACTGATTGTTTGAATATACATGCAACTGCTTTTCTTGTTATAGTTGAACTACTGTTATGTATGTCTGAGGAAGTCTGACCTTGTGACCTTGGTCAGACGTAATGTAAAGGAAATATATTTGTGATAGTGTGCAGCAAGGCTCTTCAATCACTTATGATGGTGGAAACTCGTTAAAACCCTTCTACAGCCGGAACGCCCATATGTACCCATAGGTGTACTTTTAGAAAAATTGTAAAATTTATGTACTTATAGAGTCAATATCGCTCTTAGCTGTTTATCGACGTAATGCCCTGATATGAGAGAAGCGATAAAACCTTCCAGCCGTGACGCAAAGTGCGAATCCTATAAATATCCTGGATTTCAAAATCACCTGTCAGACGTCTGAAAAATGTGACTCCCTTCAGACAGGAAATACTCCTTTATAACGACTTATTATTGTTTTAGCATGTATTTTCAGTCATACTAACTATCCCTGACCATCCCTGGCGCTGTGTTGTTTTGATAAATATGATTTCGAATGCTCCATAGTTGGCAGAGGTATGGAGATTTTTTGTATGTAAAAAAAACGTAAAATTAATGGTAATTTTAACACGTAAATGCGCGTATGAGATTGGTTACGCCGTTCTACGCGCATTTCCGTCGAAAAAATTTAATTTTTTTGCATTGGGGGTGGTCTGTGCAGTAATAATAAGAGCTGTGACGTCATCAGTATCGGTAATTTGACCTTGAACTTGACAATACTGTAAATACAATTGTGAATTTCAGAGTGATAACCATTTATGCTATAATAGTCGTTTTGGTATTGTTATGTTAGGAAAAACTTGACGAAAACGTTGAAGAAAAAATTAATTAATTAGGAATTAATTATTAACCCTCTACTGTACACAGAATATCTCAAAGTCCAATTTTTTTTTTAGAAATTTTTGAAATTTTTTTGCAAAAATTTTTTTCGAGGGGTGTGTTTTAAAGATATATTGCTGAATAGAACTCTAGCAGACGCTTTTAAAAACCCATGAATAAAGCTTTAGGGATTAATGGTTGACATAAAAAAATAAGTTTAAAAATACCCATAAAATGGGCAGGGCTTGAGGCTTAAAAAGGGTTATTAAAAACAAATAGTTTTTTTTATAGAATATATAGCAGGCAGCCACATAGTATTTGAAAGCGTCCACAAATAATGAAAGTTCAGAACAACTGACATAGAGCCAATATCATACTTTGACTAATTGAAAAATCTAAAAATGATATTGTTTGGTTTTCGAAACATAATAATTGATTGATAGTTTACGTCTTAAATTTCCTAATAGCCAATCCAAAATAAAATCCTAAATATACCGTATTTCCTGGTGAATTAGTCTACCCCGTGAATAAGACCAGGCCCGTTTTTAAGCCCGAAAAAATGGGTTTTTGCATATAACCTCCCAATAGGTCGGGGTAGTAAAATCGCATCAACATCGCAATATCAAATTACCATGCAAAGGCTTTTGAGCGATCGCCACGTTTACGGATTGGTAAAATAGCTTTTTCTTGTAGCATAATATTCAATCCATAACAATCAATTTCAATCAAATTGTTCAACGTAACTTGCCATTGCGACCACCATATTAGAACATTACCGATCTAAAATAACACGGCAATCTGCGGACATAATAATGTGGGATAAACTACCTGATTATATTTTGTTTTTATGAATAAATATACATATAAAGTGTATATATGAAATATACATATTCATCACCTGGAAATCTCCACAAAACGAAATGTGTTGCTTCATGGATTTAATTGTGATCAATTTAATCAGCGATTGCGGCAATATAAATAGTATCACAGCTCCAGATTACCAACGCAATTCATGTACATAAACATGTACGATTATATGTTGTTTTTAAGGATTCCAGAGTAGAAAAACACCTTAAGTCAGCGATAATATCCCACCGAGTAGATTTATGTCAAAAAAATGAATTACCGGTAAGTATACTTTGCATTACTGTAATCACAGTATTATATACATAGCATAGTCATGTCAGGCTCTGTCGGTAATTGTAGAACACAAAATATTATTTGCAATGTCTAATAATCTGTCCCAGCTGGTATAAAATGACACTAGACATAGCATTTTAAACTTCAATATCTGTCTATAGCAAGTGTAAATGGCTTAACAAAGTGTGTAAGCATGATTCCGACTTTCCAATAAATTTGGTTTGGTACATATATCCATGGTAGATAAAACATACGCATGGAAGGTATCTTAGACCTTAAGTAACAATTCCATATACACAGCTTTGTTTAAATTAATTTGAAAAACGCCTAAACTAATAAAAGCTGAAATAAAATAAATAGAATTCTTACTTTCATCATCGGAATGTGCATACACAGGTCTTGAATAGCATCCATCAGGTCGTTTCTGAGCTCCTCCATAATATACTTTGTAGGTATGATCCACTCTGTAGAGAATATGAAAGAGAATTAATTTTGTATCAGGAATTGTTGAAAAAGAATTGTTCTTAATTGAAAACTCTACTCTACTCTGTTTTGTACAGTAATACATATGTATTTCTTCTTCTCATGGGTGCTTTTGCTCGATAACCAATTCATTTTGTATAAGAAGTGTGCTTTCAGTGTGATGAGGAAATTAACTACTGATTACTGATCTCCAATGTTACGTCTGAGTTCATACGTTCCAGGCAATTGTATTTCAACTATGATAGAGTATAGTCCCGCGTTACACCCACAAATAGTAATACAGTATTTAACCTATATTTTTACTTTGGACACGGCTCTAGAAAAGTAGTCCAAGCCACAAACACACAATCTCATTTCCGTCACAATAGTGGTTCCACTACAGACTATACAAAAATGTTTTACTGGCAAGGCAATAATTTCGACTGTCTTAATTGTAAATAATAAAAACCTTAAATTCAGTCTTTTTAAATTAACATCTGTTGAAGAAAAATAAAATGATTCGAAGGAGAAAATAAAATAATGCAGAAAATATGAAACGCTTCCATCAGAAAAATATAAATATGATGTATTAATAAAAAAACACGATCATGAATTATTATTAGGTCTTTCACCTATTTTTAAAACTAAGACAACAATTATTCTTTAACTTTTCCATATATGGAAATTGGCTCATATTTACAATCCCATTCGGAATTCGGAAAAATGTTAGACAGTGAAAGCGAAACCTGCGTCAATTTACTTTGAAAACACTTTTCTTGATAACTAATTTTTACACAAACAGGACGCTGAATACAGTTAAAAATAGTTTTTAGTCAGTTTAAAGCATAGAACAGTTTTGACAAGTTTTGACAGAACAACTGTCTGGAACAACTTATTGAGTACAAGCTACTATTTTTAACTAAATACAGCATGATTTGGCTCAATATAATCTAGTTTAAATGAGGACAAGTTTGTCAATGTTGACAGAATGAACTCTGGAAGCACATCGGAAATGGAGATTGTAGGCTGTAAGATTGAGTGAGATATTGGAGAAATTTGAATTATTACTTTAATTTTTCTATTTAGCAAAATTGCTTAAAAAAATGGTTGAAATTTTGTAAATTTCAAATAAAAACCGGAACATCATTCAGATGAAGTGGGGCAAGTTTTTATTCAATACAAAATAACAAAATTATTATCCATCTTAATCAGAAAGATGTGTTGATGATCTCTGAAATATGCGATATTTTGTGTTTTATTTAGACAGTGCAATTTTTTTAAATGCATTTCATCTTCGACTTCTTTGAAGATTGTAAGATTACAAATAATTTGGATTAATACCAAAATGCAGCTTTTGTGACGCCGTAAGAAATCAATCAAGAAAAATTATCAAGAAATAATTGTAGTTCAAGTTTCAGACATTTTTGGAATCGTTCTTGACACGTCATTGAGTAATTTATGACATATAAACGACAAATAGTGACAGCAAATGATTGAAATTGTAGATTTTGAATTGGTTAAGAAAATTACTGATTAGACTTGTTAGAGTATGTTTGTAGGTGGCAAAATAGAAACGGAAAAATTGAGACAGGGTTGATGGGTAATATATATTAAAAATAATACAGTTTATGCTTTTGAATGTTTCTAATGAAAATTAATGGATGGAATAGGAATCTCGTTTTTATTTGAAAGAGGAAGGTTGATATGACACAGTGATATATGGGAATAGCTAACTCTGCAAGCGTTTGAATATTCCACACAGCAATAAAATTAAGATGCTTCCTATTGGTAATCAGGTTAAGAGGAATGCTGATAAAACAGTGTACTCATTTCCATATTTCAATCTAAGTAAGGTTTGATCAATTAATATTAAGTCCTGCATTGGGGTATTTGATCAATCAATCAAATTGAGATGTTTCCTGTTTACCTGGGAGGAAGGAAACGCTTCATGTCTTGGAATATTTGATATAGTCAGGTGTATAGGAAACAGATAATTAATTAATAAGGGGGAGATGGAAGCCAATGAGAAGGCTCAATCATTCAAAGAGTCACATTTCAGTCAAGATTTGAATAGTCCCGTCCTATTTACATTTTTTCCTGCGTTAATATTAACTCGAGAGTGACAAAAAAGATCGTGTAGGATAGGATTTTCATGTTACCCCAGTGCGAGAAAAGTTGGGATGAAGAAGTAATTTGGAACGCCAAATAATTTTAAAAATCATTAACTTTATCGGTCAAGATGCATTGGAAATGGACTTTTTCATTTCTACATTCATTTCTCACTTTTAATTGATATGAGAAGGTTTTCAAGTAAAATTAATTGTCGATCATAAGAAAGAGGCCATGAGGAAATTGTAAAATCGAATAAATAAAAAAAAATATTTTCTCATATCACAATTCAGAGCATGTAATATGCATGAATGTGTGGGTAAACTCAAGTAGATGGTTATATTACCAAGGCCTTGTTGTGGGCGGAATCTGATATATAATGCAGGAATACATTTCATAGAGCAGTGATTCTGTCAATTTTGACCCTGATAATTTATTTGAACTTTAGACTTAAAATTTAACCCTTTACCTGCCTAGTATGAAAAAGCATACACTTTTGAATATATCCATGAATAACTTTTACTGTAATGTGGTCTAAGGATGAAAACCGAGAATAATTTTTCGGGGATATTTCTTGAATAAGGTATGAAGATTAGATTTCAAAGTTAGACGACGTGAGATTAAGATAATTTTAACATTAAATATTTATATCTTTTCACAATAAAAGCCGCTCACAAAATTTTTTATAATCGACTCGCGAAATTCAACTCAGATTTTACGAAAAATAAAATTTATATTTTCACAAAAACAGGGGATCATTCAATAAGATAGCAAGGGTCTACAAGCATGGAACGTAATTATAGGTATTCTTGTTACGAATCTTAGAAATTAAGGAAGCGTATAAAATAACTAATTTATTATTGAAATTGAAAGCATAGCAATAGTGTTTATTAATATCACATTGAAGTATTTTGAGCCGGTTTACAAATGTATGAGATATATGCTGAATACGATTGAACCCTGATCTTTCATTGGGCTATAATTTATCATTCATGTAATCCTGATCAGCTGAAATTCGACTCGCTTGATGGATAATGTTCAACTGATCTGAAAGAGTAATATAGCTGAGGGGGTAAATGATAACTGTTCTCAAAGAAAATATACATACGCACAGCAAGAATAGAAACTTAAGAAATTTTTGAATTGTAAGTATTGGAAACAATATTAAGAAAATATTTTGCACAAATAAAAATGATAAAAATCTAATTTGAAAAACACTGATAATGATAGTATTATTTTTTTTTATTCGTTTAATCCGCTTGTCATATTAGAGGTTTTCAAATAAAATAGTTTGACAATATTTTTATGTCATTGTTTTATCATATACGACTATTTTATCATTAATTCAATTAGTACATTTTGAGATCTGTGCATCCAAGAAGCCGTATTGTAGAGAAATAGGATTAAGGAAAGATTTTTTCATTGTCGGAAATTACAATACTTTTGAGAAAAAAATTAATATTGCGTCTCTTAATAAAAACTATTTCTCATATCCCAGTTAAGTTTGTTTTTAAATGATAGAATCAGACAAGTGGTTTCGATGAGCTTTTTACAATAACGCTCAAAAAATTACAATATTTTTCGTTCAGCAGTCAATAGTTTTCCATAAAAATCATAAAAAAAGAAATATTTCTTGCCTCTAATAATGAAGTAAAACATCTCGAATTTAAGATGAGTTTGTTTTGAAATAACAGAATCCGACAAGCGGTTTTCAAGAATTTGCAAAAATTACAATTACGGGAAGTTCAAATAATCACAATAGCTTTTGGCCAGAAGTACGGTCAATACTTTTTTGTAGAACAAACTGAGAATAAGACAATTATTACACCTATTAATGAATATAACAATTTCAAATCCACGGTTTTATGTTCAAAGTTTATGGCAATCCTATTACACCTGTCACTTAATGTCAATATAAATCAATTAAAAATACTGTTTTGACTTCTTTTGTCATTTATTTGACCAAAGGGTCAAACTATATGCCATAAAGCTAAGTAAGATAATTATATATATAATATATACCGGTATATATATAGGTTGCAGTATGATTTGGTCAATATATGTATAGTGGAGTGTCTCATAGTTATATAAGATAATAGTTTGATAAAAACTAAAAAAGATAAAGGAGAGAAAAATGATATATTGAGCAGTTAGCACCAGTGATGTCCAAAACGAATAATCGAATACGTTCGAAATTGGTTATATTAAATATAGTATATTAGTGATTTTGGGAATAATTTAGAATATTTTAATTTGAAAATGTCTTTCAAGCATTTACTATTTTATAATAGACAAAAAATAGTTAACTTTTGATAGAATAAAATAAAATTAATACAAAGTTTATCTTAATTATTCTGTATGACTAAATTTGATTTCTACAAATTTACCATTGTGTTGAAGAATTTTTCTTGTGAAACAGACCTATTTCAGGATATTTCGTATTCGAAAAAAATTTATTTTAGAATGTATTAGGAATATTGAATTATACGTTTTGGTCATCGCTGGTTAGCATGCCTATTTAAAACAAGATATTTTTACTATTAAATAAGCATTTAGAATATGCTTGCCACACTGCAGTGCTGATTAATCCGTACAGGTGCACATCCAGTGTAGATGGAACATGGGCAGTGGAATGATGAACAGTGGTTCGGCATATGGTCATGGACTTATCATTTATCACAATCACTTGTCATCCACCATAGATCACCATCAGAAAAATTCCAAATAAATTAGTCGAGCATTATTATGCACTTCGATTCAATTAACAACAGCTAATACAAGGTGTCTAAAAAATTTTGCCCGATTTTGTAGTAGTAATTAAAAATTTATGTCGAGCAAAATGTTCTGGACACATTGTTCAATCTTTTCAATCGTTGTATTGCTACTATGTATA